TTGGTCCTAGAACAATAGGATCCAAAAGGCAGCAGTCTGATTGGTCCTAGAATAGGATTCAGAATGCAGCAGTCTGATTGGTCCTAGAACAATGCAGCAGTATGATTGGTTGGCAGGAACTACCCAATCATGCTCCAGATAGAAGTGAATCCACAACCTGATTGGCTTACAGTAGAACTCCGGAATTAGCCAATCATGTGCAGCCCATTGTGTAAATAATGTATATAAAGCAGATACTTTGAGGGGACATTCATTCATTCCTCCTCACCACTATGAGCTGAATAAAGAGCATGAAATCACTTTGCGACTCTGAGTATATTTCATGAACTTTGGTTGCTTGCTGCCTTGTATTGTCATTGGATTATTAAGAATAATTTTAGAGAATCTAATTTCTTTCATTAAAGCATTTGCATTCTGCATTGAAGCTTTTCAAGCAACCAAGGCAGCTTATCAAGTAATAAAAACAAACAATAAAAAAATCAATCACTGAAAAGAAAAAGCAGATAAGGGAAGCACAAAAGGGAGTAATAAGTAAGCAATAAGCAATCATCCACTAGATGCATGGGCAAATAAGACAGTTTTAATCTGGCGCCTGTAGGATATAGAATGTTTGTGCCAGGCAGCTGTGGGGACTCTGACCACAGCCCTCTTGAGGCCCCCCCTGGTCCCCAGCTGTTCAGGACTTTACAAGTTACAAAACCAACCCTTTGAACCACACCTGGAAACAAGCTAGCCAGCAAATATATTTTAGCACCCGTAAAATGGGTGCAGTGTAGTAGATCCCTGTTAGCAACCTGGTCACTGGAATCTGAGCCTACCGAAGTTTCCAAATGTTCTTCAAAGGAAAGTCCATGTGCAAACACCACAGCAATAATTCTTGCGTGTTACCAAAGTATGGAAAGTTGTGAGAAGGCTCTCTCGAAGGTCAGGTGCAGCTGGCAAAGCAGTTGAAGAATGGTACTGTGTGCCACAGATGCCATTTGTCACACAAAGCCATTATCACTCGCTGTTTACTCAAATAGAATTTGCCAAGGCCTACTCATCAGCACTACAGTGGTACCTTGGGTTAAATACTTAATTCGTTCCGTAGGTCCATTCTTAACCTGAAACTGTTCTTAACCTAAAGCACCACTTTAGCTAATGGGGCCTCCCGCTGCTGCTGCACCACCAGAGCACGATTTCTGTTCTTATCCTGAAGCAAAGTTCTTAACCTGAGGTAATATTTCTGGGTTAGCAGAGTCTGTAACCTGAAGCGTATGTAACCCGAGGTACCACTGTACTTTCATGTTGTCTGGGTTTAGCTTGTTAGCCAACCTATTGTTTCAAGTGAAGGCATCTGTTCAGGACATCCACTGCTACATCTAAATTATAAGAAAAGCAGAGCTGGGTGTCATTGATATGCCAACACCACCTAGCTCCAAACTTCTCCTAGAAGTTTGCTCCATAGCCACAGATGCCACTGCACAAAGCCAAAGTCCTCCCCCACCACTTTATGAGACCTGTGTGTTATATAGGAGTGGAACAACAGAAGCATAGTACAGTATATCTAATTCCCAATCCAAATTGTCCCAAATACTAGGACTGATGGTACTGAAAGTTGCTGAGAGGTTCAGAAGACTCAACATCACATTTTCTCCTGATGTAGGTCATCTACCAGGGCAATCTGCTACGTCATGTCACCCAGAAACATCTGGAACTTAACCACCAGCAGTGGTTAAGAGTTAGCAAGGGAGGAAGAGGTTAATTAGCAGATTCCCCTCTCGAGCCAATGCAATTTGCGTTTTAAAAAACAACACAGGAAAACCTGCAGGTAAAAGATGCATGTCAAGTGCAGTTTGGAATGAATGTCGAGTTCTATGTTCCACTAAGTGCTTAGCAAATAAGTCACAATGAACTATTTGTAACCTGTTGGTGTTCACACTGGGAACTAACACTCTGCAGACTCCTTGCTACCTAAACAGTTCCACTGGACTGCAGTGTGTGGATGCAATAGTGGTGGGGCGACTTCTTTCTTTGCAACTATCACCACCAAGTATGATCTAAAGTGAGATCTAGCCTGTGTTTGATCACATTTAGAACGTGCCTTTCTCCACTTACATTCTACTAATTATCCCTGCTATTACGCCAAGTTCCCTGGGGTACCAGAAAGCCATTCAAGAGTGTGTACTTAGATCACATCCGTTATCTAGTTTATCTCATTTTTCCCACAGATCAACCTGGGCTTCAACAGGAACACATGCCGAATCAACTATAAGCTCTCCCAAGGCTATGATGAAACAACCAACCTAACCTTTCCCCATCTGCAGAGGAATAGCGAACCTATGGAATAGTATCTGTTTAACAAAGTTGGCACACTGATGAACCTATTTCTTCACCAAGTTCTTAGACTGGTCTTTGTTGGGAAGTGTGATGGAAGCTTTATAGATACAGGTTCTCGCCGAAATCCTGCATCACAAGAAATTGTATTTTCATAGCATGGCCTTGAGCAAGTGATTGCCTGGTCCCTCTCCTGCATCACCAGGGCAGTTTCTGCATGTGCTGTAGAGGGAAGTGAGGGGCAGATGGGGCTTGTCAACCTGAGAAGGTAGCCAGTCTAGTAGGAAAACTCTTATCCTAAACCTTTGCTGCCTTGCGGGCTATCTTCAGGAGAAGAAAAGGCTAAGGCGTAAACCCTACACAAATCTGGAGTGGACTCCCTAAAACGGTTGGATGGCATCTTGCATGCCTCCTTCTGGCAACTCCTGCAGCCAAGCTGGTGCCGAGCATATTGCTCTGCTTGTCTTTGGACTACGTCTGTGAAGCCAAGAGAGGGTTGTTGTCTGGGTAGCCCAGGACCTCCATACACACCACCATGGCTTGCACCCTGAGGAGGTTACTGGTGCTGCTAGCACAGCGGTTTGACTTCACCCCCGGAGGTACACTCCATTGTCTCTCGAGGCAGATGAATGCCAACACATAGAGAAGTTGAGGCTTGAGGATCAATGCTTCTTGTGTCAAGTTATATAAACACAATTGAATTTCAACACCATAGGTTGCCAGGAGAGACTAGACATTTATCTCTGGTTTGGTTCCATTTTCAAACCTGTTGTGTGAAAGCTGCCTGCACTGTGCCATCACTAGATAGAACTGACATTTTGTGCATTTTTTGCTGAACGTAAAGGAAAGGAACTCCCAGAGTTGTAAGATAAACTTTATTTTGGATATTATAGTCTGAACCACATTTGTAAGATATTGCAATGTACATTACAGCAGCTCTCAATGCTCCTCCTTCCTCTGTTTGCCAAGAGACCCAAATTGTATTTTGAAGACGGATAACGTTTTAGAGATTTCTATTGCCCTGAAGCTTTAACAAAGGCATGAGAGTTGCTGGTGTATTCAATAGAGACAAATTACCACTGTTACTATGTTAAGTAGCAGGAAATAACGTCACAACATTGAAAAGTCAACAGAGACTCAATACTGTGTCACTTCAGCCAGATACGGAAAATGAAATTTCAGTGGAATGTACTAGAAATAAAAGCAGTTGGGGCGTGATCCAGTCCACTGCAGATCCAGCAAGCAGTTTTGCCCCTTCCCCCACTTACCCATGTAGGAGGAGAAAGGGACCACACTTCTCTACCACCATACAGCCTCTCTCCCTCCACAGAGCAAGTAGTTGATGTTCTGGAGCACAAGTAATTTATAGCAAAGTGACAGGGGGAAGCGGGGCTGAAAGAGGATGGTGAGACAGGCACGTGGACCTAAGAAGGCACCCACTTACTCTAACCAGGGGAGAGCAAGAAAACAAAGCTCAAGCAAGGGTTGCCAGCATGCCTGCAAGTACCTCCTATGGTTCCCATGTAAGGTAAATAATCCCCTTAAAAATCCAATGCACAATATTTTGCTCAATTGCTGCTTGCACTGAGCCCCCCCCCCAGTCTAAAAACATGCCCACATTTCCATGGATGCCAGGACTGAACACCCTCCCTTACATTCTGAACAGAGAGAAGGTGCAAAGAGCTTCCCTCTTTGAATGCATAAGAGGCTGAGGTTTTTCCCCCCATTGATGGCAGGGCTGTGTGCACTGTTGTGGGCCACTCCCACACCATTTTGTGGCCCTGTCTCTTTTTCTGTTCCTTTAGATGTGGCAGCCATTATATATTCTGCCATGCCCCAAGGTGTAATTTAAACACCTCTGGAGCTGTCATTTTATGACTGGTTCTCACAGCAGTTTTTCAAAATTTCACAAGTATGCCCTGGCCTAAAAAGGTTGGTGACCCCTCCGCTACTGGGACCAATCCCACCGCACATGGGTACTGGACCTATTGCGGACTGGGTTGTGGACTTGAAATCTTACAATAAGTATGCTTCTTAGCTGGATAAAATTGCTGAATTAATTTTTGTAACTTGCTATGCTGTATAAGTAAGCCTGATTTGGAAACTGAACTAGAATGGAGAGCAGTGTTGTGAAATGCAAATTGGCTTATGAGAAAGCATTTACAAATGAAGTTTAAGACTTCCCATGATTTTCCACTCAGGACTTGATTACCCTAAGGAATGCTGTAAAAACATTTGCACTGTTGCAAAAGCTTTCAGCTTATATGGATACTAAGCCTGTTCCAAGGTCTGGGTTCCCACAACACTTCAGGTGCCTGGATCCAATACATATTCTGTGCCAGTATTACACTGCCAAACCCAATATTTATTTGTTTTTTCCCCCTTGTTTTCTTTTTTTAAAAAAACCAATAAGCTTTTATTGTAACCCTTTCACATTCCTTGCCTTCTTTTTCAGAAGACATGCTTTCAAAGTTATCTGTACAGCTACAACCAGCTACAAACATTTTAAAAACGCTAGTCATACCTCATGTTACATTTGCTTCAGGTTGTGCGTTTTCAGGTTGCGTCCCGCGGCGACCCGGAAGTACCAGAAAGGGTTACTTCCGGGTTTCCCCGCGCACCCATGCACAGATGCACAAAATGACGTCACGCGCTCGTGCAGAAGCGGCAAATCGCAAACCGCGTGTGCACAGATGCGGGTTGCGTTCTTTTCAGGTTGCGAATGGGCCTCCGGAACGGATCCCATTCGCAACCAAAGGTACCACTGTACAAGCAAATCCTTTTTTGCCTTCAGTAAAGAGCTGGAATAATAATAAACACCATTACTACTGCAGAATGGATTGGCAGGCCTTTCCAAATGATACCTCAATGTTTGAGACAAAGTCTACCAGTAAATGTACACAGAAACAGAGCCTATGCTGGTGGGCAGTACAGAGACCCCTTCACTGGGCACAAATGAGTAACTCATACCTGGATGAGAAAAACATGAAATTCACAGGGGCATTGTCGTCACTGGTCGATGTGGTAGAACATTCACAGAAAGATGGATTGTGCCCTTCTTCCCTACCCACTCCCAAACTTTGGAAACTTTGGCAGCCACAACATTGTCTATTTTTCTTGGGGAGTAGGAGAGAAACAAGATGCAACACTGACTGCATCTTTCACAGCCACCAAACAGCAACACAGGGAGGTTGTAGCAGTTAGCTTGCTACCTCTTCCAAAAATTTAAGCCAGCCAACAAGGAAGTGGTGACACAATGGGGGTGTGAATTATTAATGTGTGCCTAGAAATGGACAACATACCACTGCAGCACAAAAGAACAGCAGTTTACACCACACAAATCTTTACATCTGGAATTATTACATTATGGGTAAATGTCTGGTGCTACAGAAACGCATGTGGAGGGATGCTTGGTAGCCACATATGGGAAAAAATATTTGCTCTGCAGCTCAGGGGAGAGACTTCATTGCACCGAGGAAACTCTGGTGGGTAAAATCTTAGTAAGCCTGCATGCAAATTCCTATGAAAGCCTAGAAGGCTCATATAATACCAGACAGGAAAGTTACTGAGATGAATACAGAAGCCCAGCCTAGCTCTGAGGTGTTAAATGTCTCATGAGTCACAACAAGGGGGCAGAAAGGGTTAAGTGCAGAGGATACAATTTAGCATCACTGTCAAGTTTTGTTTTGTATGTCTAAAGAAATGGACATGCGTACACACATGGCCCTGAACACCACCAAAGAGTAGAGGATCCAGATTTGGGGACAGACGCCTGAAGCCAGAAATAGCATTTCATTTGCTAGTCTAGAGGCAATGGACGCCTTCCTCTTAAAATAAAAAATATTGGAAGGCAATAGGTCCCTAGAATCTCCAAGCAGCCTGCTTTCTTTTCCTTGTGGGCACTGGAAAGAGAACCAGCACCCCTGCTCCTTTCACAGGCAGGCCAACATTGCATAGAACAGCGAGTGAAAGTGGCAGAGTTCTAGGCAGAAGGGGTGAGCACTGGGAAGAGGCTTGCGGTGGTCAGTGCTTCCTCTTTGGCATGAAACAATGTCCAGTTTCCCTTCTCATGGAATTACAAGTCAGGAGCAATGCCAGATGTATGATGTTATGGCGGACCAAGTAACAGAAGGAGCAGCGTGGAGGTTAAAGTGAGTGAAGAAAGATGAGCTCCAGAGTAGACAGAGTTAGGAAACGATCTTCCGTCTTGCATGAGGACCTCTGGCTGCATCTTACTTTTCTCAGCTTCCTAGAAAGGCAGAGAGAGAGAGAACTCATGACTGGATACATCTGCTGTCCGTCACATCATCTCATTTGAATCCCTCCTTTCCCCGCCAGCACCATTTCCACTTGCATGGTGTCCCCTGCTCTACTTGGAAGACCTGAGAACATCCCTGGGAACAAAGGTGTCAGCTTCTTTGCTCAACTTTCTCTCACAATAGAACACACTTCTGCCAACCTAGCAGTTCGAAAGCACGTCAAAGTGCAAGTAGATAAATAGGTACCACTCCGGCGGGAAGGTAAACCATGTTTCCGTGCGCTGCTTTGGTTTGCCAGAAGCGGCTTAGTCATGCTGGCCACATGACCCGGAAGCTGTCTGTGGACAAATGCCAGCTCCCTCAGCCTATAGAGCGAGGTGAGCGCGCAACCCCAGTCAGTCACGATTGGACCTAATGGACAGGGGTCCCTTTACCTTTAACTAAAGCAACCTTGTTATGCCAACCATTTGCTTTATAGGCGCATAACAACATACCTGATTCCACTTACGCTACAGATCAGGAATGGGAAACCTGTGGTCCTCCAAATGTTGCTGGACTGCAGCTGCATCGTCCCTCACTACTGGATTGATGGGAGCTTGGAGACCAGCAACTTCTGTGGGGCCACAGGTTCCCCATATCCCTGCTACGGATTCAGAAGAAGCTGGCTTTGTGTCAAACAGAAGGAACGGTTCGTACCCAACGCATTTCTGAAGTGAAAACTGTGCCATCTGTGCTGGTGGCATCTCCCTGGAAATTCAGGGAAGGTGTGAACTGCAGCTGCTCCTGAACCTCCATATTCCTCTGGTTTAAGATCATCTGAGACTGGATTGCACTTCCTGTAAAGCAGAGAACACGCAGGAGATTGTGTGAGGACCTGAATGCATGTATACAGAGTCAGGTTACACATTCTAGGTCCCGGAGTCTTTGAGCACCAGGTGCAACTAACAGGATAAATTATTGTAAGACAGCCATGCATTGGTGCCTGGAAATGGCCTGAGAGGGAGCCAGCAGACCTTTTCTGCTCAGCTTTGGCTATGCATGCATCTACTGTGGGGGTAGAGAACATCAGATGTGGCCCTCCAGGGGCCCTTCCAAACCCCATGAATCACCCCAAGCCATGCCCCGTTCTCAGGCCACACTCTCAACAGCTCTGCTCTGTGCTCTTGAGTGCTTTTCCCTGACTCAAATATGTCCTTGAACTGCACCATCGCCTCTTGCTTGCCTGAATGACAGAGAGAAGTGTTTGTGTAGTCATGTATGGAATTCTCTGACTTTTTGCATGGCTTGAATACAGCCTGCTGAACCAAGTTAGGAGCCACTTTTATTAATCCACTCATTTTTGCCCCTGACCCCACCCACTTATTGGCATGTGTGCCCCCCTCCCCCAAAGTTGCCTACGAGGGGATATGGCTCTTGAGCAAGAAAACACTGCACACTCCTTGTGTACAGTTTGACTGATTTTTGTGAATCAATAATATTTTTTAATTGATTTTTGATTGCCGAAGCATTTGGCAATTAACCCACTGCAAGTCTACTCAGGAATTTGCCACTGTGCTTTAGGCATCATGATTTAGCTGGGCTGCTGTTTTCATGCTGTAGGGGAGCATATAGGGAACACAGACCAGCCAATGTCTGCAAGGGCAAGGCTTATCTCCCTTCCAAAGGGGAGAAGCATGTTTGGTCAAAGAAATCCCAAATCTTAAACTGGGGGGGGGGCACATGAAAAACTTTTCCATAAATATAATCAAACAGATAAGAAGCTGAGGCATTAAATGTTTAACAAGCAAGCTTTGGTTCTGTTTTACGTCCTCTGTGAGCTTTTACAGTCATAAAATATTTAAATCTTAGCAAGACCAAACATTTTAAGAGATGCGTTGACAATAATAGATAGAAAGGAGGACTTGGACAAAGTTAGGGCCAATATCTGATTTTATGCTGAAGCAGCAGGATCAATGAGCTGATGTAAAGTCCACTGGACTAGTTAGAACAAATGAATTTGTAAATGCCGGAGTGATTAATTAACAGGGGTGGGGAGCCTCTGGTCTTCCAGATGCTGTTGGATTCCAACACTTGACCAGTCAACATGGTCAATAGTCAGGAGATATAGGGGCTGTAGCCCAGTAACAACTTGGAGGGCTACAAGTTTCCCATCCCTTGCTTAACGAGCAACAAGTACCCTAGAAGTACCCTAAAGGATGAGAATAAATGACCTTTGTTTCCAAAAGAGGCTGACTAGATGCCTCTGGTAAATTTGTATGTAGGCAAGAGGCCAGTAGCTAGATGGGAAGGGGTAACTATTGCTAGACTCCAACTCCCATCAGACCCAGCCAATTTGCCCTCAGGGATGATGGGAACAACAGCTGGAAGGCGAAAGGTTTCCCACCCCGGAACAAGATGTCTCTGTTTGTAGCCAACTTCTGACATACAACCTCTAATATTATGGATGTTTCTAAACAACGAATAAGTTGACAGATCTTTCTCTTATGAATTTTTCTGATCCTTTTTAAACCGATTTTCTTGAGCAGCTTCAATGAAAAGGCGGATTTAAATTTAATATATGCATAAAGTCCAGTGGCAGTGAATTCTCTGGATAGAGAAGTACTTTGTTTTGCCTGTCCTGAATCTGCTGCCAATTTAATCAGGGAAAAGTTGACTTCTAGTATTATTATGAAAAGGGGATAACAATAGGGGTAGATGGACTAAGTGTCTGGGAGGGTAAGTGTCTGGCATATGTTTGGATGACTTACTGAGGCATCTGTTGCTGGCAAAGGAGCTAAGGACTTGCTCACAATCCTCCTTCTGATTGCCACTGTCCTTGCAGGAGCACCACAGTGTGACATCAGTACTGGAATTGCTGGCATAATTGGGGGTCATAGGTGTACCTATTTCAAGACCGAAAAAAACAAAGAGTCAGAATTTTCCCATATGGAATACCAATGAGTCAAAAGATACAGACCCACCAGTCTAGGCTTGCTTTCCATAACCCCAGAATGTGCTATCTCAATCTGCTCAATTCAACATCCTGCCAATCTCAAACCCTTTCCAAGGATTTCTGATGTGAAGTCACTCTGTGCTCCAGATTGACGGGAGGGAAAGGTATAAAAATATATCTAATTTTAAAAATTGTAATTAACTAAAGCATAACCACACTGTTGCTGTGGTCAGCCAAATGCTTCATAGGCAGGGCATGAAGGGGATAGTGATCCTGTTTCTGGCATCAGCATATCAAAATCAGAGGTGTAGACATGGATACTCCATTTCATTACCATGGCTAATAACCACCTAACATAAGAAACTGATGGTTAATGTTCCTCCTCCAACTTCAGAGTGAACGTGAAAGTGGAATAGTATTCAGCTATAAGGGGAAGGAAGATGGACCAAGTCTTCAGAAGAGGCAGTTTCCTACAGCTCAGAGAAGCTTACGCTCCTTTCTCACTCTCTGTTCCATAGACCGGGAAGGCAGGACCTTACATTGCACCCCCCCCCCAGGTATGTCTAATGGTATAACCCTCATCAAGCTCCCAGTGAATTCCTCTGGGCCCAGCACATACCAACCATCCCCATGTAAGCCTCCAGGCATGCAGCATGGTTGTGCGGAGAGCAGCCATCTGAAGATGTGCCTGAAGGCTTGCATTGCTCTTGGAAGTCTGCCAGCCGGGATCTGGTGGAAGATAACAACTATCAGAACGAGGGCTTTCTTTACCACTTCAGAGATTGCTTTATTCATTTGTCCTGTAGTTTATAAACCAAAGTCACTTTTTACGCAAAGCCAAGCAACATCATAGATCTTCATCTTAAAAGTAATAGCTACATTAGGGATGGGCAACTGATGGCTCATGGCTTACATGGCCCCTGAAGCAGTGTTTTCTGGCAACTGGCGGTTTAACCAAAAATACTTTATAGAACAGACATGTTAGTCCTACAACTCTCACATGTTTAATGTAATATACAAATGTACAAGGGGACCGGGTGGCGCTGTGGTCTAAACTACTGAGCCTCTTGAGTTTGCTGATTGGAAGGTCAGTGGTTCGAATCCACGCAATGGGGTGAGCTCCTGTTGCTCTGTCCCAACTTCTGCCAACCTAGCAATTCAAAAGCCCACCACTGTAAGTAGATAAATAGGTACCACTGTGGCAGGAAGGTAAATGGTTTAGTCATGCTGGCCACATGACCTGGAAAGCTGTCTGTGGACAAACACTGGCTCCCTCGGCCTGAAGCGAGATGAGCGCCACACCCCATAGTTGCCTTTGACTGGACTTAACTGTCCAGGGATCCTTTACCTTTTATAAACATACATATTGAGCATATGCTCTCCTTAAGAGCAAAGTCCTTCTTACTAGATGGTCTCCAATTTTATTATGAAACTGACCACCTCTGGCTCACAGACATCTGTCTGGAGAATAAAGTGGCTCTCAAGTATGTAGAAATTGTCCATCCCTGATTTAGGTGATGCTTTTCCTGATCTGCTGTTTCAAAAACATAAGATTGCATTTTAAAATTAAAATGTGTATAGACTGGGACTATCTAAATAGTTAGGCATTATGGAAACATATAGTTTTATTTCCTTCTTTTACTGTATCAAGTGTACAATCCGCCTTAGGATCCTGTTACTTTTGCCTCATACAACTAATAGCTTACTATGGCGGCCACCCCAACGCCCTTGGTGCCAGACCTACTTGCAGATATTGTCCTTCAGACAGGAGTCCAACAGGACGAGGCAGTTTGGCTTGCTGCTGCTGCTGCTCTGGAAAGAGCACTCCGGGACAATGGTATTCCAGCGCCGCTCACCACAGACCTCGTCTTGACAAGGGCAGAAGAGGAGGCTTTTGGTGAAATCCGCGCTGATCCTCTCAAAGAAGTGTCTCAGGTGTCGGTGGCATCTGCGCCGATCACAGGTGGTCTCTGTGCTGCAGGTCTGGGCATAGAGTGAGCGCAGACGCATGCACTTGTGGTTCAAGTGGCAAACGTTTGTGGCATGCAGGCAGGGATTTGTCCTATCCATAGCTATATGGGAGCCAACAAAAGTGACAGAAAGACAAGAATATGTAGTGGGTTCCAGAGATTATTTCCATGAAGATGTGGATTAAACACGAAGAAAATGTAGTCGAAGCAATTTCCAATATCACTTTGCAATTCAGAAATTCATTTATTTACACCTGCTTCCTTTTCCTTCATAGTTTGCCCTGTGTGAAGCTTTAGATTGTAGACTCCTTGGAGTAGGCACTTGTCCTTCTGTGCTCTGAAAAGCACCATGCACACTGGTGTTGCTGCCCTGGGTAATCTACCCAGATACTCTGTGCAGCATCAGAGTAGACTTGAAGACTGGGGGAAGCAATCACATGGATGGGTTGTACCCTTATGCAGAACCTCATTTGGGAAGATTTTATACTAGGCCAGAGTTTTGGTGGGTGGCGCACTCCTATTCTCTGTGTACACACATCAAAAGGTGTGATACCTTCTACATACCCAGTGAGTTTTCTTTTGGCTGCTACTGCTGTTACCTCTCAGAAGATTCCTCTCAGACTAAAACTTTTTTTCTGTGGAAAATTTACCTCACAGGACTACTTTATCTTTGAGAGTCTTATACTTTCTGCTTTCTGTTACATTATAATAACAGTTATTTCTGCCTTTCAGATTTGAGTTTGTGTTTTATTTTTGGTCTATGCTGATATCCCTCACCTCTAGACCATATGTTTACCCTGGCATCCTAGCATTAGTCTGCTTGACGCTACCTTTAAATTGCTTATAAACCATTTCCTTTCTCCCTAAAAAAACTCAGCTGTAGTATGTAGGTCCTGAGGAAAAGAAAAGACAACCAAATGTTAGTATAGGTTCTACCTGAAATCCTAGTTGACAGTTTGTTGTAATTGGTCTTTGAAGAGTCTTCATTGTCTGCATCTTCATAGGGTGACACCTCTAAATGAAAGTCATCTGTGTAAAATAAATTTATTTACTTAGGAGTCACACTATAAGTTATGTGTGTAATGAAAAAAACAGAAAATCACAAAATATGAACTCTTAAAAAAAGGTAACCAAGGCAGCAGAATGCAACTCTAAACATATCCATTTACATAAAAGCACAAGAGCAATACAAAGCTAAAACACATGTCAATCTAGCACGGATTAAAATTCTTTCAGAGCTAAATTAAAAACAATGATACAGCATTAAAAAATAATTTCATAAAAAACTGGGTGAATTGAAAACTATTTGCCTGGTACCAACATTTATTAATGTAGGTGCAAGGAAAACTTTGGAAAACCAATAAAAATAATTGGCAAAAAAGGGAAAATGCCCCAAGGGACAGCATGCCCTGCTCAGGGAAGTTTTTAATGTTTGAAGTTTTATTCTGTTTTTAATGTTCTGTTGAAAGCCATCCAGACTGGCTGGGGAAACCCAACCAGATGGGCAGGGTAGAAATAATAAATTGTTGTTGTTGATGATGTTGTTATGCCATAAAGGAGAGGCCACAACAGAGAAGGCCCTCCACCTTCAGCGTGGGAGAGCACTTGCAGGCAGCTGCATGTGGAAAAGAAGTCTATCTACATGTTCCCAGTTGGCTCCTTAATGCAGGGGCCGGGGCACATAAAACTAAGCAGGAAATGCTTAAGATTTTAATTAACAGAAAGAGAAGAACCACACCTTAATATCCTGCTCAGTCTAAAAAACAATTATGAGGGATCTTTTTTGATTTTGACATCTATTTTAGAATATTGTCAATGTAAACATTCAAATATATATGTTTTTATTCTTTTTGTAAACCATCGTGGAAAATAAAATTTCAAGGTAGCAAAAATTAAGCAATGGGTTTCTAATAGCTTTCTATTCTTTGGGAGGAGCCATAGCAGAAGATCCAAAAATCAACCCCCAGCATCTCTGGTTAAAAAGAATTTCAAGAAACAAGGCTAGATGTAGGAAGACTGAGACCCTGGGGAGACGCTTTCTAGTCAGCCAGACAATTGCTAGTCTTGACTTGGTGCAAATATTTTTGTTTTGCTTTTGCAATCAGGTCCAAGGGTTTTCTCCCAGATATTCAGGTATTGCTCTGGAGTGGGGCACACAATTATTATCCTCCCGCCACCAGTGATAATTCAAAATGAAGAGTGAGCAAAGCTTCTATCTCACCAAAATGAACAGTCCAGTAGATGCGCAGGCACAGCTGCTCCAATTTTCGTGTGCGCCGGTGACACTTGCATTCCTGAAAATAACTGTTTCTTACAAATGTTTCTGCCGCCAAGCATCTGTTCCTGGTTTCTTGGTCAGGGAGGAAACTGCTCTTGGGAAAAGACTGGGAACAGTTTTGCAAGGTCTGATAAGCGGCGCTGCAGGCAGGCTCAGCCAAGCAAAGGGTCTCTGCTGTTATACAGGTGTGCGGCTGATCAAGAGAGAGAACAAGGAGGCCTCCTGTTCAAGGAGAGAGAGTGTGTCTTAGCATTTCATAAATTCACATACTGCAGCCACTTTCTCATCCCTTCAAGGGCACAAGCATAAGCTCCTGCTTTTTGCTGAATTAAGCAATCTGGAATGTTTATACTGCCACAATCACTAATGTGGATTAGCACACATGTATGCTTTGCCTATCCTGTTGTTCATATTATCAAGGTGGGGGGGGGAGATGTGTGGGATTCAAGTAACAAGTCCTACTGGAGGAAGCAAAGACAAGGACTCCAGCTAGTGCAACAGGACTTCCCTCTCTGTCCCCCCCATTGGCTTTTTTTTTTGGGGGGGGGGTAAGTTCAGTCAGAGCTGTAACTACGGGGAGGGGGGCTAGTCTTTCTCTTGCCCTAAATTAAGCCTCCAGAGGCTCCCACTGAGGCTTCCACTCAGTGTGTGTGTGTGCGTGCGCGCAAATGTGGGGGTGTGGGTGTGCCAAACTGGGTCTTTGACCCGGGTGAAATAAAGCCTAGTTTTGTCCCCGATTTGGAAGAAGTCCCAGAACAGTGTAAAGCGGGAAGAGAAAGGTTGTTGTTCCATCTGGCAAGCTGAAAAGCTTGTTCTGACAAAACAAACGCCATAGTGCTACACTTAATTCCTCCCATTGCTATAGTATGGTTTTTATTTTGATATTCCAACGGATGTGTATGAGAGTTCTTTTTACAAATCTACATTTATCTACCTCTTGCTGTTGGCAATTGGTAATTGCTAGCATGTAAAGATCACCACTCCTTGCATTAAATGCTTTTTAGAAGAAAGGAAGATCTCCACACTTTAATCTATTCTTCTGACATAAAATCAAGAGTTTCTAAAGCCTTTTTTAAAAAAAGCAGCAGTGTCCAGTTGGGCAGGATTATACTTTGGTGTTGAATTTTGGTGGAAATCTACATTTTGGTGAAATAGATGGGCCCAGTCTTTGACAGCAGTGCTGTTTGAACCTCCAGTCCACTTCAGCAATTTGGCACCAGCTCCAGACTCACGTCCTGATACTTACATAAGTGACAGAAATGACACCTACAGACAGACTTCCTGGTATCACGTTTGGCATCTTACTATAACCACTAATAAATAGACTCATTTCAGGTCCAACCAGTTACTGCAGTGGTTTCTATATTTGAATGTGAGCCAAATGGAGAACAGCGCAGACTGAACCATGCTTGAAGGGCAGATGTTCTTGTCCTTGAAAAATGACAGTTGCAGAAATGAAACGCTCCTCAAATTTCTATCACATACAACAGGGGTGGGGGAACTCAGGCCCAGGGTCCAAATGTGGCCCACTAGATTTATCTGGCCCTTGGGGCTCCCTTGAGGTCTGAACTCCTCTAGCTTGGCCTTATCCCTCACCAGCCTTGCTTGGTGCTCTCCTCAAGTGCCTTTGTCTGTCTGGAATGTGTCCTTGGATTGTGATAAAGCTTCTTCCTTGCCTGGATGGAAAATGGAAAGATACGTGCGCATGAGGGCCTTTAGAAATCTCTGGCATGTGTGTGGCTGGGAATGGAGCTTTCAGTAGAAAAATAAGAGCCCCATCCACTTTTGTCTCCAGCTTTTCCCACCCCTCTCAGGTGTGTCATGAGGGAATGTGGCCCTCAAACTGAAAAGGTTCCCCACCCCAACATAGAAATATGGCCCCATTCTAAAACACTCATATTCCTGTCCACCATCTCTCATTTCCCCCAGTGTGCTTTTGATTTACATTCAGTGTTTCTCTTCGCATATTGATTTTCAATTTTTATTATGGCTTGGTTAACATCTATTGAATCCCAAGCATTCTTACTATACACTTAACAACAGACTTTATGAAATTCGGACAGATCACTTCCACAGCATACACTTGAAGCACATGGGCTTCCCACATAGAATTGTGAGAATTGTGACTCTGTGATGGGTAGATAAAAGTTTCCAGGATTTTTTAGAGAGCCATGTGCTTTAGATGTATTTTAAATGTATGGCAGGGATTTGACTATAGAGCACCCCACAGAGATATGCAGGGGAAAGGGGGCAACTGTCTTACAAAGTATAGCTGCTGCAACCATCTTCCATGTCTCTCCCACCACCACACCTCGTATGGCAGGAGGAACACAACCATCTGCAGGGATACCACAACCATTCATGTAGGGAAGGGAGGAAGGGCCAGGCAACTGTCTAATCAGGGCAATCACAGCCCACAATCCAAAGAGCAGCCAGGTGGATGGAAGTGTTGTGCCAGTGATAGGCTTACCCCTGGGTGTGGGGGAGCACTACCAACCACCAACCTTGTCCTACCTGGGCAGGAAGTCCCCTAAACCTTGGGGGTGGGAGTACAGCCAACAGGAGTACAGCCCACTACAGAAACAGAAGCTGCCTGCAAATGAGACATGCACCAGGGAGGATGCATGGGAAGGGGCCAGGATGGATAGCTGGCTGCCTAGGGAAAAAAGAGAAATAACAAGCAACAAGGGGTCAGGCAACAGGTCCACTTTGCCCAGTGTGCAGGAAGGGAAGTGGGGCCAGGATGGATAGCTGGCTGCCTAGGGAAAAAAGAGAAATAACAAGCAACAAGGGTCAGGCAACAGGTCCTCTTTGCCCAGTGTGCCCAACAAGGACTGCAAAGGAGCTTCCAACACCAGCTGCTGGTGCACAACCAGTTTCAGCTATAGCACTCTCTGAAGCTGAAGTGGGACAGTTGTTCAACTGCAGGGTTGGCTCCTCACCTGTCATCTGGTGCCCAAGGCCCACAGCAGCCCCAATGAACCTTTGCAGTCTGGCATTAAGCGTAATGTCTTGGATCTGACAATGCTCGGCCTAGATCCTCTGTCGCTGCCTGGAATTTTAGGGTGCCACTTGCAGAAGCAAGGATGCAAGGAGGTAATGAGCGCCAGCACAGATCACCCTTTCTGGATCAATTAAGCCCAGGGGAGCAGCTCAAAGGCAGGTAAGCAGATGAACTGGGGAAGGCATGGCCAAACTTAGCCCTCCAGATGTTTTGGGACTACAATTCCCATCATCCCTAGCTAACAGTGGGAATTGTAGTCCCAAAACATTTGGAGGGCCAAGTTTGGTCATGCATGAACTAGGGGTTTAAACCACAAAAAAGAAACTGAGCAGTTTCTCTAGAGAAAATAATAACCTTCACCATTTTTACATGGTGATTAAAATGCTACATGCTGCTAACTACCACACTGTTTACCAATGCCCTGTGAGATGCAAAAGGGAGAAGCAAGGGATATAGGGTCATTAGCTATGATGTTCTGCATAATTTCAATAGAGAAGTAAATGCTGACAGATATAATGCCACCAAATGCTGTTTCAATACACACAGAAAGTCAGTGATATAGCAGATGGGTAGTGCTAAACATCACATTTCACTACTAAATTACTCTTTATTACTCAATCAAGAATATTATCCATGCTGGCTATATACTACCTCCAGAATCAGATTCCCTCTGAATACCAGCTAAAGGGGAACAACATCAGGAGAGTGCTGTTGTGTTCATGTGCTACTAGCGGAGTTGCCAGAGACAGCTGGCTTGTAGATATGGGAAATGAGATGCTAGACTAGATGTACTTTCAATCTGATCTATCAGGACTCTTATTGTGTTTCTTACCGCTTGTGGTGGATACTGATTCAACATCTCTCAGTACAGGTGGTCACACATATCTCCCAGGTCATTAAAAGTAGCCAGTGGTAATAAGGTAAAGGTAAAGGACCCCTGACAGTTAAGTCCAGTCGTGACCGACTCTGGGGTTGCAGCGCTCATCTCGCTTTACTGGCCAAGGGAGCCGACGTTTGTCCACAGACAGTTTTCCAGGTCATGTGGCCAGGATGACTAAGCAACTTCTGGTGAAACCAGAGCAGCGCATGGAAACGCCGTTTACCTTCCCGCTGGAGCAGTACCTATTTATCTACTTGCACTCTAGGAGTCTGCATTCGCTCCATAGGACGCACACACATTTCCCCTTCATTTTTGGAGGGGGAAAAGTGTGTCCTATAGAGCGAAAAATACGGTATTTATCTACTTGCACTTTGACGTATTTTTGAACTGCTAGGTTGGCAGGAGCTCGGACTGAGCAACGGGAATCTCCGTCGTGGGGATTCAAACCGCCAACCTTCCAATCGGCAAGCCCTAGGCTCAGTGCTTTAGACCACAGTGCCACCCGCATCCAGCCAGTGGTATATCTATCTAAAATTAATATAATCGTCATTGTGTTATGTTTCTAGATTAAAGTTTGTGAACCAATTCTGTGGGGGATCCAAGGAAGGAAATTTGGTTCCCCTGCAAGTGAACAATGCATGTGGTTCCATAAAGGCTGACCCTACTCCTGTTTACCAAGCAGTATATTTTCATTTACTTGTTAAATTTCTTTATTGCCCTTCATCTGAGGATCACAGGGTGGTTTACAATATAAAAAACAAAAATGCATAACATAGTAAAACAAAAATAATAAACACCCATAAACACACACAGCTTAAAAGGCCATAGGTTGTTTAATAAGCCAAAGGCCTGAGAGAAAAGGAATGTTTTTGCCTGGCATCTAAAGATATGCAAGAAAGCACCCTGGAGAGAGCATCTCACAAGCAGGGAGCCACCACAGAAAGGGCTCATTGTATCCTTTCTGTTGAGTAAACATGCACAGGATTGTAGCCTTAAAACTCTATATTGCCTTATCCCAAAGGTAAGAGTTCGATTCTACCACGCAAACTAAAGATGAATACAAGTTTCAAAAATAAAAGAAGTCTTCATAGTAGTTTAGTCTGGAATGAGTCACTTGTGAATTATGTTAATACAGGGTAGAAAGCAGAATAGTGTTTTCATGTTTGACAAAGCATTTTGACTCACTCCCATGCAATCTGTGCATGTGCTAATGTTGTTAATGCAGGAAAGTGAGCAGATTAGAGATATTCTAACAAAAGTATGTTTTATATTTTCAGATCACAGATACAGTAAACACAACAGCCCTTTCTGTGATATTTTCATTCACGATACAAAAAAACCCACCCCATTACCAGTATTTCCCTAGTTTACAATGTCCTGTTCCAGGTGACGCAAGGACAGAGCAGCTGACAGTTAACCATGGACAGTACTGGACTCAGTTTGGTATTAGTTGCATGTTCAAACCCAGGGGCAGGTTAAGAAGCAAGGTCAAAGGCAATCTGAAGTCAAAATGTGAGATGTGGGGGAGGTCTTGAATTGAACAGCTAGGTAGACAGGGATGCGGTCATCAGGGCAATGGAGCAAATTTACGGCTACAGCACTTTGTGCCATGAACTGAATGATTTTTAGTCTGAGCACAGCAGCAGGGCATCTGGGTTGCCTGAGGATTTGGTCTACTCGTGAATAGCTTTTTTCACACAAGTATCACTTTACTCTGGTGTAGTGCTTGTTCCTCAGGCTTGCACTCCAGTGCCTAACTAAGCCTGCACCTTCAGGTGCCTGTGCTTCTTAGGGCTCAGTGGCTGTCCAACATCCCCCGGTGCCTTGCTGCCCCATGGCATGAGCTGCTTTGGAGAGCTCTAGGTCATCCTTGGAAGATTCCACCCGCAGCAGCATGACAGATAATGCCATGCTAAAATTCACATCAGATGGAATGTGCATTTCATTTTAAAATGGTCCTCTTCATCTTTCCTTCCTGCATTAGCAACCCAAGAGCTGTCCATGTTTGATTAGACCTTTCTATGTTATATTAGACCAAGGATCCACCTAACAGTACTCTGTATCAAACAAATCTGTCTGGGAAGCTCACAGAGCTAGACGGAGATAGCTGTCCCCTGATGTTGCCCCTGACAAGTGTGAAACGCAATTTAAAAACCAATATAGCCAGTGTAGGATATGCAAATTAAATGCAGACCATACATATGCATATATTTAAAATATATATAAACGTCATGTGAAAAACCCTTCTGATCATATTCCACAATCGGAACATACACAGATCTAATTTCGGGCCAATTTATGTAACACGACCCCATCGAGCAGGCGAGTTGCACATTGCAAACTGCTCCTACAGCCCGCGGCGGAGCGGCTCTAATTCTCTGGCTGAGGAAAGGGTCACAGCCCTTCTCTGGCCAGCAAACAGCTTGGCAGCCACTTGCCGAAAGTTTCTCCGACAGAGAAAGCAGCCTTGGCACTCGAAATGGAAATCTGCGATCAAATCTTTATTCCGGAAGATCAGCTACCCCGTAAGCAACAGGCACTTTCTCCCCTCCGTTAGCAAGCGGCGGAATGGGGACTGCGCTGTTCCTCCGTAGCCTATTATATGATCGTACATCCCTCTTTCCTTTCTCTCCCAGCACCCATCAATAACGCCATCGGGGATCTGCCTAGCCTGAACACACCCAAAGTGATTAGCAAACAGGGTGGTCAGACAGTCCTCCCCGTCGCCGCCTGCAAATCCGAGACGCCGAGCGCGCGCTGGATCAGAAACCTGGACGACTGTCCAGACACCGCCCCGCCGAGAGACACGCGCAGCCCCATCCTGAGCGGGTTACATGGAAGCAAAGTCCGCTCAGGGGGCTCGCCTCGCAGCAAGACGGACATAGGATTCCAGACCCTCTTTGCCTTGGGACAGGAAAAAAACACACACAGAGAAAGGATGGTCCTATTAGAGACAGCGGGCGCAAAACAAAAGCTAAAAGGCGCGGATGGAGTCACAACTTCTCTCTTGACCCGCCCCAGAGTGCCCAATTCTCTATGCCCGCAACCCCAGAGCCAGCCCCGGACGACGACGAGGGGCGCCAAGCAAGCCCCCCGTGAACGGAGGTGGGGTCGGATGGGGTAGGGTAGAAAACATACAGCAGGTCCAACACCGCCTTTTCCCCGCACCGGACCCCTTTCTCAACGGCGCCCGCCCCCCACGACGCCCCATTACCGGTTCGGGAGAGCAGCAGCAGCCCCAGCAGCAAAGGGAGGCCCATGGCGGAGGGAAGCGCAGCACGCGCGGTCACTCCACTCCGAGCCGGTCTTGCGAGGGAAGGGCTCACATGCTCCGCTAGTTCAGCGGGGACTGGGCAGCCTCGCGTGGCCACCTGCTGCCAACCTGCCCTCGTCGTCCCGCCTTCGCGGGGACTCGCCTTCTCAGCTCGCGCGGGGCAGGTGCGCGCGCGGAGCTACAGCGGGAGGCGGGAACTCGCCGCCGGCGCGCGAGGGGAGGGGCGGGGAGGGGCGCAGGAGTAGCGCCCTGGTGAAGCGCGGCAGGAATGGTCCGCCTCGCGCTAGGGCGCTTGCTATCTCTGGGTGGGGTAGCGGTATGGATTGGGAGTAGGGGACGGGGTCAGCCCCGTCGTGGCC